AGCCCTGAACCCTAAATCCCTGAACCCTAAACCCTAAACCCCTACTCCCTAAGTCCCTAAACCCTAAACCCTATCCCTAAACCCCAACCCCTTAATCTTAAACCCTAGACCCTAAATTTGGTGCCTCAGGTTCAGCTTTCAAGCTCTGGGGTTGCGAGGTGCTCCCACCCCCTCTTGAGCACCAGCAAATGTATGCATTAGCCTGAAGCATGGGCGTGTTAATCCCTTTCCCCGAAAATGCAACCTCCCCATATTCATCCTGTAACGTACTGGTACTGTGTTGGGCATCTGTCTTATTGAGGCGCAGGTTGTTTATGAGTATGGGAAGGCGGCCCTGAGGTATAAACGCGTGCTCCGCACGAGAAGTCAGAAACAGCTCTTGAAGTTGTTTTTTTCCTTATTGCACTTCTTACTTGGAAGTTTTTTTGGTAGCGGTGACAGGTTTATTTGGCCCTGGGCAACTTGTAGCCCTACTTAGAGCTACCAATGAACCTCCAAGTAGAGCGGGTCATTTTTCTGGAGCTCCCTATCCTAAAGCCAATGTGGGGGGTTCCCAAAATTAGGGGTACGTTTTTGGGGGCCCTTATAATAAGGACTATAGTATATTGGGGTTTATATTGGGGTCCCCTAATTTTGGGAAACTACCATATAGCCCTAAGCCAATATATAGTCCCCCTTAAGTAGACAGAATATGGCTTGGGTACATTTTAATAAGATCCCCATATACCCCATATTCTATCTTCTTAAGAGGGAGTATAGCCCTAAACCGAGTCAGCTTAGAGTTTTCAAATTCAGGGCCACTGAAAACGAGCAGGCAATTCTTCTGCAGCAGACGAGGTAGTTTTTTCTTTACTTTCACTTTTCTCTTGTGAATTTCAAAAGGCATTTTGGGAAAGGAGTGAGCAATCACATCGAGAGGCCGTTTTGAGGGTCAAAACCACAAGCTCTCCCGCACAGGCATCTCCAGGATGCGCATGGAATGCCTGAATGACTGCCAAAATCAAGCCTTGTGCAGAAGTAGCATGTCCTAGGAGGACCCGCCCAGCCTGTAATAGTGGTATAGCAGGAAGATAAGAGGACCCTAATATAGTCCTCATTATCCCTTACATTGACTATTACTGGGTAGGGGCTACACCTAAAGCATGTCCGTGTAGCTTCCCTAGAAAATGCTTCGGACTGAGGAGCTATCCTGACCAAGATCATGTGCGACGCGATGCAGCTTGCTTGCACAGAAGGTCTGAAAGATTGGAAATGCAAGTACAAGTTAGGCGGATCCCCCCACCTGTAATAGTGGTAGAATAGGTATATAAGAGGACCTGAATACAGTCACGACTATCCCTTATAGTCACTATTACTGGGTTGGGGGTCCACCTAAAGCATAATATTGAGGACTGCACTGGCCCATCAAATTAACTACCCTCAAAAGCGATAGTGACGTTCTTAAAACCTAAACCCTAAAACCTTAAACTCTAGAACCTAAACCCTAAAACCCTAAACCTTAGACCGTGTGTGCAGTTATACGCCACTTTGCAATACCTTCGGTGTCAGCAGTGGCCGAGCGTAAGGTGTGCCATTCAGCCCTATGATCAAAAGTCCACAGAGGTTATTCTATTTAAATACATAATGTTATGATACTATGTTATACTAATTATATGATATTATATCTTATACTATATAAGATTGCAGGGGGTTGCTAGACTATTTTACTGAATACTACTATCATACTATGTTTTGCTATATTATAGTATATCATACTAGATAAGATTGCAGGGAGACGTCTTTCCATCGAAGCCAGTAAGTTTTAAACATGTTGTTCTGCTTCGGTAAGGTAGAGGAAGAAAGTCCAAAGGCTGAAGCCAGGAACCCTCGACCTGCCTCCGCTGAACACTTGGGGTTAGTGGGGAATAAGGGGAAATATTCTGGCGATTCTGTTCCCTTATTCCCTCCTAATCTTCAGGAAGTCTTTATGTCTTTGGGCGGTGTTGTTTTTTCTTTTCGGTTTGTCGTTCTTTTCTCTTCCGTTCAGGGCTAATGTTCTTATGCTTCTTGTTTTCTACTTCTGCATCATCTTTCAGTGTCCTTGTTCTTCTACTTCTTGTTTTTTTTGCGCGTTCTGCATCTTTGACAACGTCTTCTTATTATTGTTCCGGCTTCTTCTTAGTGCCGCAGCTAACGCTACTGCCGCCGCTCCTCCTCCGCTTCCTGCTGCTTCTTCCTATGAGTAGTATTTTATTTGGGGATATTATGGTACCCAAAATAGGGTAAGATTATATCCTCCTCTTGGGGTATAGTATTTTATACAAGGAATATTATCTTACTAGGTTCAACCACCAAAAAAACACTAGTCGTATGGTTTCTGAGGAACCGAGACATCTTCAACGTCCTCTTCGGTGGCCTCAACAACGCCCCCGTGGTGAAGGGTGCTGACGACGGACCCA